TGAGTGTAGTGTTTTATATGTATCAATTAGGTCAGTTTGATTAATGTTTAATTTCTTCTCTGTCTTTACTTATTTTTGGCTGCTTGTTTTGAGTAAACGTCTTCAAATATCCTAGATTTTTCATTTCTTCTTTTTAATCTCAACTTGTGCTTCATATATTTTGAAGCTACGCTATTAGGTGCATACGAAACACTGTGGAATAGCCCTTTTTAACCTATTAAATATGCTTCCCATTACCTTGATTTATACCTCTTTATTTCTGTCAATACCTTGTCATCTTTTAATATGGTTTGTTTTTGTAATGTTCGCATTGTTTACTATTATATCTTAGTGTTCACATGGTTTATCTTTTGCTTTTGACCCTTCATAACTAACTTCATAACAGATTTGGTTATGTTGGGTTGTTTAGTAAAGAAATCAAAACTGAAATAGCCAGTGTAATTATAACCACCCTTGCATAGGTTAGGAAAATCATTGGTAACTCTTGAAGATCAACCCACTTGTAGATGTGAAACAGGTGAGTTAAATATAGGTGTAACTGATACCATTATTCCTGTATCATCAAAGGTTTAATCATGGCACAAATGTTTGTAATTCCCCAAAACTCAATCAGCTGCTCTTAGATTACTATTGTTGAAACAATTAAAGCTTTTTTAGTCAAGCTTGATAAGGATGTATTTCTGATTTATCATTATTCAGTCATTTTTTATTACCTCAAAAACACTTTGAAGAATCCACTGTACTAGAGGTTTTGTGAAAAGATATATTATTTTTAATTTATAGCTTTACTATAGACCCAATTTCTAATAGAGAACCATTTAGTTCTATTAACTTTTGTAAATTTTGTTAGTTTGGTTTTTCAAGGGATTTTCCCATATTGCTAAAATTTTCAAATTTATTGACATAAAGTTGTTTTATGCTCTTTTAAAAATGTCTTTATGAATAGATACTATGTTTTCTCAATTTAGTTCTTGATCAGTATTGCTAGGTGTTTGTCAGTTCTTTACAAGGAACCAATTTTTGATTTGATTTTCTTTTTAATATTTTTTTTTATGTCATTGTTTTATACTCTCTATTTCTTAATTCTGCTGTTAAATATGTTAATTAGTTTTTATCTTCCTAGCTTTGTGACATTATATCTTATGTAAAATACTTTGTCTTTCTCCTTTTCTAATGTATACCCCAAAGCCAAAAATTTCCATGTAAGCATTTACTTTAACTACATTCTGTAAGTTTAATATATTGTATTTTCATTCAGAGCAAAATATTTCAATTACATATTTTAATCATATTTGGACCATGGCTTATTTAGAAGACTGGCTGTTCTTTAACTTTGAAGCAAATGACTATTGTCTAGTTCTTTTTCTTTTATACAATTTTATTTTTTAATTCCACAGGTAAGGAACATACATTATGCAATTTTAATTTTTACCGTTTGTTAAGACTTCCCTTATGACCACGGGTATCATCTATTTTGGTAAATACCGTGTGCATTTGAACCTAACGAGTATTCTCCATTTTTGCCTGTAGTGTTTTATATGTGTCAGTGAGGTTAATTTGATTAACTTTGCTTAAATCTTCTACTTCATTTTTTTTTTTTGGCTCTGATCTGTCCATTGCTGAAAGGAGTGTGTTAATACCTACAAGTAGATTCTGAATTTTTCTGTTTCTCGTTTTTGTTCTGTCAGCGTTTGCTTTCTGTATCTCAAAGCTATTTGTTAAGTAGGTACAAATTCCTGTTGAGTTTTATCATATTAAACATATCTCTATGTAAGTACTTCATCTTTTCTATAATTAATATAATTTGTTTCCTTTCTTTTGCCAATATAAATTAGTAAACTATTGTTATTGTTTTAGAGTAGAAGTCCTTTCCTCTCCATTCAGATGTTGAACCTGTTCCTCTGGAGCATGTTGAATTAGATTCTGATTTACACTTAGAGCCGATGAAGGGGCAGTAGGAGTATGTCTCGAAGACACTAGTCATACACTAGCAGGATAATTTCCTGAGCTAATTACAATCTCTCCAGCTAGAGGTGGCTAGACTTCTCATACAGGAGAGGTCAAGGCTCCCTCCCTGGTAAGGGAGACTCAGAGATACTTGGGAGGATTTGGATACTCAGAACCAACCCAGTCCACCTGGAATTCCCATTTTCAAATGTCAAGGTTTTTCCTTTCTCAATCAAATTTCCTACTTCAGTTTTCAACTTATGCTGTGATTCTGTAACTCCACAGTTAAATTTTGATTTCCTTTGAAATTGGCCCTGTGGCTAAAACAAATGAGAGATTGTTTTAGGTCCACCGTTATCAGCGATCTGAGCTGAGAATTTAGAACCTTGAGCCTCATTGTCTCATTGTGCAAAATCTACATTAGAATGCAGTATGGCAATTCCACCTCTCAGTCCTTGAGATACTTACAGGCATCATCACAGCCCTCCCTTGGTCCCCCACACACTTGGTTCAATAGAGCACTTCGCAGTCAACATTAAGTGGTAATTAAATTAATTGTGATGCTACTACATGCTTATTCGCCATTCAGCAGGAGTTCAGCAGTGTGTTAAGGCCATGGACATGTCCAGGTCAATCTGAGAGTCCCATTCTGTCTGTCCCTCTTGACAGCATCTTGGTACCAGGTCCTGTATCTGTCAAGATCTAATCCAGAAAAGAAACCCACCAAGAATAATTAATATAGGGAATTCTTGAAATGGTGTTAGAGGACTGAAAAGGTAAAAGGGGAACAACGGAGATACACAGAAGTATGAGTTGCCAGAAGGAGTTCCACCCCTAAGATTGGTTGGGGTTGTTATAACCTAGAAGCTCTCATAATGAGCCTCATAGATCTTGACCTGGACTGTAGAAGATAGGGCATTACCAGTCTAGGTGATGCTGGTAATTTAGGAACTGAAAAAAGGGGTAGTGTGGAGTTGATTGCTGTACCTCTTGTAAGGTAATGCTGAGCTTGTGCTGGTTCCTTAGGGACTTGGAAAAGAAGGTCCTCCAAAACTCGGACTCAGATCTCTGAGAGGTGCTACCTGCATGGGGCTTGTGTCAGGGAACTTTGTGGTATAACCTGGAACATCTGAGGAAGAGGCAGTTGGGCTGACTGGTGTGGGTTGCCCAGGGTACTGCGGGAGGCTCTGTCCGTCTGGTTCTGAGACTTCTGATGAGGGAGCATTGTCCACTGGGTGCCTTTGATAGGGCTTGATGGAGCTGGGTCTGGGAATGTAGTACCCAACTCCTGCCACAAGAGCAAGGTGCAGGAGGGTCACTGCAAGTAGCTGCAGGCAAACAGGTAGAGCCCCTTGTCGTCTCCTTTTGTCATTTATTCTCTCTCTTGTGCCCTTCTTGACAAACTTCAGGAAACCAGCTAGAAATGGGGCAATGTATGGATTCTTATCTCCAGCTGCATAGACAAAGTACATTTTAGTTTTGGGGTTCGGAAAAGAGTTCATAATCAGCATAAGAGGTGTCATCAGAATGCTGCTATAGCTTCTGTGATGACAGGTACTGTCAGGTGACAGTGATCTGTGCAAAGCTCTCTGGTATTTCCTGTTCTTTCATTTTATTGTGGCTCACTAAATTGCTCTCATGACCCTGTATGGTTTGTGGCCTAAGTTTAAGAAACCCTAAATTAACTGTGACAAAGAGTGAATGGAGACACGGTAAAGTAGAGATTTTGAGGAGTTTGAAATAGCTGCTGGAAATTGAAGAAACAGTTCATTACTGACACAGAGGAATTTTCTCAGAGTGCTTGAAGTGCTGGTAATGTTAGAAAGGAAGGGCTTTGGAGTGACACTGGTTTACATAATCAGTGGTGATGTGGTGTTCCTTCAGGACTTGTCTTTGGAGTAATGCAATAGTGACAAAGACTGGTATGCCTCAAACATTCTCTACCTTGAGCTTTTGTATTATTACCATGTCATATTTCTGATGAAGTTTAATATATTTTCCTCTTTATGATACTTTATCTTTAATAATCCTCTTCAAACTCACACATTTCCATCTTAATATCCCCAAATCTGTAGGAGATACTAAGAATATCATGAAGAGAGACCTGGAAAGGAAACCTGGTCATTAGGCTTTTACCTGTGTCAGAGATGCTTTCCCTAAGAGGTTTCGTCTAGTATTCCTGGCTTCTGGTAGTCATCCGTTAGTTCTGGAAAAATATGCAAGTGTATACAGGTGTTTTTGACATCATAATGCTGAGAATATTTCTCATGCTCTATACTGCTGATCCCATTTGTGCCCCTATTTAGAATACTCAGGCCACCAGTATGTTTTCAAGTGTGTCTCCAAATTTATTTTAACTTTTGTTTTCAGATATTAAGCATTTATTGATACTGAAAGTCAGCAAATGAGCAAAATTAGCTTTTACCTGAGCTAAAATGTATGTTTTCAACAGGAATGAAGTAAGTCCATTTGAATTGTGATCTTTGAACATTTTAATGAAATGACTCTAGTTTTAAATTCCTCAGTCTAGCTTTCTCACCAGCCATGTGAAATATAAAATAGAATCTATATTTACACAGCCAAAACAAGTCTTTTATGATTGAGGACATGATGCAGCTGGGCTGACTGGAGAGACGCTTCTGTAATTCGGCTGTTTGCCTTGTCCCCAAAAATAGCAGCCTCATTCTCTGTTACTCCATCAGAATGGCTGCCTTCCTTTGAATGCCCAGGGGTTTTCTGCAGATAAGAATGAATTATAAAATAAAAATCTGTCTTGATTGGAGGGGCTTTCCCAAAACTAATGAGTCCCTTAAGTGAGGTTTACTTTGACTGCTAACTTCAAATAGAATGGGGAGTAGATATCTATGGAAGAAAAGGGGAGATGGAGCAAACTGTCTGAATAAAGGGACAAAAAATGGTGAGTTTTTTTTGTTTGTTTGTTTGTTTGTTTTTGTGGTGTTCACAAGCTTGCTGAAGATAGCAGGGTACCAGGAAATTTTTGGGTGGAGGAGAAATTGAGAGTCAGATGTCAATCTTTTTTAACATGGAAAATGTCATGTCAGCTTTCATGTTTAGAGAAGAGTATGTAACGAATCCTCATCAAGTAGAGTAATTACCCACTTATGATCAATTTCCTTCATCCTTTTCCCTGGAAACCTGCTCTTCCTCACTCCTTGCCCTTACATATATATGATACAGTCTTAGGCATTTTATTGATTCAAGCTTTGTTCCAGTTGAGATCACTTTCTTTTCTCTCTCTCCCATCCTGCCTACCCCAACCACCCCATTCTAGCTTTTTTTTTTTTTTTCTATTTTCACTTTCAGCACTGCAGCTCTGATGGTCCAACTCTTCCAGGACACAGATCCATAAAGGTCAGCCCTGCATCCTGAACAGCTCAGAGGGAGGAGCCGGACCAGTAGTGCCTGATGCCCTGTCCTCTTCTGCCCTGGGCAGATGGCTCCATAATGGCAGTGGGTGAGGCCCTGATGCACATCAGGGTCACCGTTCTGCTGCTCTGGCTTGGGGTGTCTCTGTCCATTTCTGGCCACTCTCGGGCCAAGCCTTCCCAGCACTTCTACCAAGAATTGGTGATCCCCTTGAAGGCACCTGGCAGGGACAGAAATGCAAAGGCTCCAGGCTGGCTTTCCTACAGCATGCGGTTTGGGGGCCAAAGACATATTGTCCACATGAGGGTCAAGAAGTTCTTGGTTTCCAGACACCTCCCAGTGTTCACCTACACAGACCAGCGTGCCCTCCGCCAGGATCAGCCTTATGTTTCTGATGACTGCTACTATCATGGCTACGTGGAAGGGGTTCCTGAGTCCCTGGTTGCTCTCAGTACCTGTTCTGGAGGTTTTCGGGGAATACTACAGATAAATGATCTTGCTTATGAAATTGAGCCAGTTAGGTTTTCTGCTACATTTGAACACCTGGTGTATAAGATAGACAGTGATGATACACAATTCCCGCCTATGAGATGTGGGTTAGCAGAAGAGGAAATAGCACGCCAATTGGAGTCACAAAAGTTGCATAATTTCACTCTGATGCAAAGTTCTTACTTGGGCTGGTGGACCCACTTGCGGTTTCTTGAATTCGTAGTGGTCGTGGACAATCTTCGATTCGTTCACTCACAAAGTAATGTGTCAGTGGTACAGCGTGAAACAGTCGATGCTGTCAATATAATAGATACCTTGTATGACACTCTTGACATTGATGTAACTTTAACTGGGATTGAAATCTGGACTGAAGGAAACCTAATTGCCATCGATGACATAGATACGATGCTGGAGGATTTTGCTCTTTGGAAGTTTTTTGGCCTTGATGACCGACTGCCACATGATGCTGCCCATCTTTTCATAAAAAAATCATTTGGTGTAAAGCTTGGAGTTGCCTACGTTGGCGGAATATGTCAGCGTCCTTTTAATAGTGGAGTTGATGTTTTTGAAGATGAGAGTCTGTATAGTTTTGCACTGGTTGTGACCCATGAGCTTGGCCATAATTTAGGTATGCAGCATGATGATCAGTGGTGTGTGTGTGGACTTCAGTGGTGCATAATGTTTCCTACCAGACAGGTGACAAACAAATTCAGCAACTGCAGTTATGCCCAGTATTTGGACAATGTTATCAGTAATGGATTATGTCTTTACTCTCCTCCATATCCAGGGAATATCTTTAGGCTGCAGTATTGTGGGAATCTTGTGGTCGAAGAAGGAGAGGAGTGTGACTGTGGAACCACAGAGCAGTGCACAAATGATCCCTGTTGTCTATTGAACTGCACTCTGAAGCCTGGGGCCACTTGTGCTTTTGGGCTTTGTTGCAAAGACTGCAAGTTCATGCCATCAGGGGAACTCTGTAGACGTCAGGTCAGTGAATGTGACCTTCCAGAGTGGTGCAATGGGACATCTCATCAGTGCCCAGAAGATGTATATAGGCAGGATGGGATTCCCTGTAGTGATGACAGTGCCTACTGCTATCAGAAGAGATGTAATAACCGTGATGAACAGTGCAGGGAGATTTTTGGCAAAGATGCAAAGAGTGCATCTCAGAGTTGCTACAAAGAAATCAACACCCAAGGAAATCGATTTGGTCACTGTGGTATCAAAAACACAGTATATGTAAAATGTAAGGTCCCTGATATCCTATGTGGGAGAGTTCAGTGTGAAAATGTGGGAGTAATTCCTAATCTGGTAGAACATTCCACAGTGCATCAGTTTCACTTGAATGACACCACTTGCTGGGGCACCGATTATCATTTAGGGATGTCCATACCTGATATCGGTCGAGTGAAAGATGGCACAGTGTGTGGTCCAGAAAAGATATGCATCCACAACAAGTGTGTCAGTATGGTTCGTACGCCACAAGCCTGTCAGCCTGAGACCTGCCACATGAAGGGGATCTGTGATAATAAACAGCAGTGCCACTGCAACCCTGGATGGGCACCTCCCGACTGCAAGCACCAGAGCAATGCAAGTAGTAATGACAGCAACCTGCCTTCTAATCCCCAAGCAGAAGATGCAGATGGGAAGAGGGGGAGCCAGTCATTATTGTGGCTTATTTCTTTGATTTCTTTATTTTTATGTTGCTTCTTTGTGCTCTATAAGAAACTTAAAAAGGAAAAGGAGGAGGAGGAGATGGAAGAAAAAGAAATGGAAGAAGAAGAGATGGAGGAGGAAGAAGATGACTAAGGCTCCTGCTTCATTAAAAAAAATCTCATTTTTCTTTTAATAAAGAAGCATTAGGGCAAGTCTGGCTGTTTAACAAGAAAAAATTTAAGGATTCCTCATGTCAGGATCATAAGCATTAATATTACACTGAAGGATTCCTAGCATGCTCTTACGTACTCTTCAGTGTTTTAAGCTATATTAAAAGTTCATTTTTTTTGCCTGGAAATCATCTCTTTGTGTTTCCTGAGCAAAGTCACATTTTTAAGCTAACATCTATTCGTTGTAAACCTCCTCCCTCCTTTGTACTCTTAAAATGTAATACCCAGGGTATGCTGCTACATACCTCACTTCTGTTTTGCTAGCTCTTTTCCAGGTTGCTGTGCCAAAAGGCAGAGCAGTAGTAGCCTGGAATGATGAATGAAGGGGGAAGGGAATTTACTTTCTTGTGTGCTAAAAGTTACTCTGTCATTTTGCCAGGGACCCTCACTCTGGTAGCCGTTTCGGTTTTAGATTCCAGTTTTGTTGACTCTGTTAGAACCCTCCTCGTTCTTCACTAGAAGTACCAGCACCAGTTGGCCGCTGACACTTTCAGAGAGCTGAATTGCAGCTCTGGGGTTAGCAGTGTGGTCCTTCTCTGAATCAACAGCAGCAGCTGGTCACTTGACCTCCTCAGAGCTCTTGTCCCTTCTCCTTTAATCATCAGTCCTTGAAAGAACCCAACTTCTTTCCTTTGTTCCCTTGGCCCTATGGCTGCTAGGTGCTTTCAGTAGTTACTTTGTTGTGATAGTTCAAGTTCTCCAGCAGCAGACACTGAATTAGAGTTTAGAGAGAAAGGGTAAGGAAGTCAGTTGTGCAGATGAGAAACAGTACTACATCATAGCCTTGGCCAACCTGGGAGCAAGCTCTGGTATGAACATTGCCTGACAGACTAGTGTTGAATTGGGCCAAAAAGGTCTGGTCTTCATATCCTTCCCCTGCTCATTCACTGGATGTGGAGTGCCCAGGGAAGAGTGAGATCTTGGTCATGCACCTCCCTGCAACTGAGGCTGACCCCAGACAGTAACATCTGGGGGCTCTCTGCTGATCAGAATCCCAGCAGCTGGTCAGCAAGACTTTCCTGGAAGGGAGGATGAAGGTGGCTTATTTGGAAATTCCTCCAGTCTGATTTTTGCATTGCTCTAATCAGCTTTTCCTGGTAAGTTCTAGAAGCTGCTCCTCCAGGATTCTGGCAGGCATCTCTGCCTGTAGGGAACTACAGAAGAGGGGCATTAGTGGGGTGAAGAACAGACCCTACTACTGTATTTGGCACTGGGGCTGAAATTGATACTTATTGTCTCTCTCCTCCACTATCCATACTAGTTTCCCTCTTCTCTAGATGGCATTCTGATGACTTTGGTTGGATGTTAACCTGAATGTTACCCAGACCCTTATCTTTAAATCACCTGTTCCCATGCCTTGCTTAGGCTGGGATTGTGAAATCTATCCATTTATAGTCACAATAGAGCTAGGGAATACAAAGACGTACCTAAGGAGATCACCTGGGTTTCACACATATGTCCTATGCCCCCATCATATAACAGTAGCCCTACCTCCTCTCAATGACTGGGCTCAGTTATGCCTATCAAGACTTTAACACCTCTGCTTGCTACTGCAGGGACCCAAGGAACACAAAACACCCAGGTGGCACCTTATACTTCCACTGGGACTCTACTTTTGTTCTCTGGTGAAAATATGACCCATTTGGCAACTCTGTGGAGCCCAGAGTTTTAGGGGACAGGAAGCATAAAACACCCCAGTGAATCAAAGGGAGTGATGGTAAGTGGTGCCACTCCTACTGCCAGCCCCTGGTTCCCAGACCCACATAAAGATCTCTGGTTTAGTGTGAACAGTCCATCCTGGAATGGTACCTGTATTAGCGTTCCCCAGAGAAACAGAACCAATAGGATATGGGGATTTATATATTCACCCTTTCCCCAGAAGAGGAAGTAAAGCCCTTGAAAGATGTTTATTCTTCTTGATGTCCTGCTTGGATTGGGTTAGTGTAGTTTTCCATTGACCTTAATCACAGGGTATGGTAACACTAAGAGATACCCTAAGGTATTTCCTGTATTCCAGACATACTCTTCCTTGTCTCTACCAGTTTTCTCCTTGGTAATCAGGATCAGTCACCACAGCCATCACTGTAGCTCCATTCATTGCCTATTGATTCAGAGGCATGAGGAACCCAAATTGGCCAGGTGGCTGTCCAGTTAATGGAATCATTGTTGTGTCTCCTGGTGGAAGCATTCCTCCCTCTAGGAGTTAAGTCCTCTAGGCTACCAAAGCATAAAGTCACAGGAACAGGAAGCAAAGATTTTGCTAGTGGGGAATGCAGGTTAATAATGAGTGGTGCCACTTCCATTTCCACCTCTTGATTTCTGGAGTCATGAATCCTGGGCATGGGAGAAACAGCACCATATATTGGACACTGATTCAGAGCATATACAGCCTTCTGGAGAACCTTGCCTCCACTCTGAAAGGTATTGGTACGTAGCTGGCACTGTAACAGAGTCTTCAAAAGGCCATTCCACCATTCTGTCAAGACAGCTGCTTCAGGATGGTGGGAAACATGGTAAGACCAGTGAATTCTATGAGCATGGACCTATTGCTGTATTTCTTTTTCTGTGAAGTGATCAGAAACAATGCTGTGTGGAAAACCACGATGGTTGTTAAGGTATTTTTTAAGTCCATGGATGGTATCTTTGGCAGAATTACTGGGTGCAGGAAAGGCAAATTTTATCCAGACTGTCTGTTCCAGTAAGAATAAAATGCTTCCCCTTCTATACTGGAAGCAATCCAGTGTAATGAACCACCTTTTGACATGCACCTACTGGCTGGCTGATCAGCTGGCTGATCATCCTAGGAAATGTTGCCATATTGAGAGCTCAGTGTTGGTCTATGCCAGTTCAGATCAGGCAGTTAGTAGTGGCTGTTGCCTGGCCATCCTTGGTGAGTGGAAGTCCATGTTGCTGAGCCCATGTATAGCTGCCAACCATTATGGTCACTTTGTTTATGAGCCCATTGGGTAATGATGGGTGGCTGGGAAAAGAGGCTGGCTGGTATCCATAGAATGGGTCATCCTATCCACTTGGTTATTAAAATCCTCTGCTGAGGTAACCCTTTTGTGAACATCCACAAGGGACACAAATATCTTCATTTTTTTTTCGCCCTTACAGAGAGATCTATCCACATACCTCTTTCCCATATTTCTTCATCACCAATTTTCAAATCATGTTCCAGCCATGTCCCTGACCATGCAGCCAAACCGTTGGCTACAGCCCATTAACTGGTATATAATCACAGATCTGGCCATTTCTCTGTGCAAGCAATGTGCACAGCTAGGTGCACTACCCGAAATTCTGTCCATTGGAAGAACTTCCCTTCATCGCTGTCCTTCGGGGACATCCCAAAGAAGGGCCACAGTGTTGTAGCTGTCCACATTCAGTTGGTGCACGCGTATCACAGAGAACCGTCTGTAAATCAGGCCTGGGTCTTCTCTTCCCCTGTCAGCTGATCACAGGGAACTCTCCATGAGGCTCTACTGGCAGGCCCTTCAAGGCCCTTCAAGGACCTGCTCGGGCCTGACCCTGTGTGTATCCCTTCCATTTGATGATGAAGTGTTACTGTGCAGGCCCACTTTATAACATGGTAGGTCAGGTAATACCCACGGTGATGGGCAGCTCAGGTTGTGTGCTAACTTGGTGGCCCATCATCAAGCATTCAGTATCTGGTATGGCCCAGTAATAGGCCAAGAGCTGCTTCTCAACAAGAGAGTAGTTATTCAAAGCCTCTGATGGCAGAAGCTTGCTCCAAAATCTTAAAGGCCTGCACTGTGACTCCCCTATAGGGGCCTGAGAAAGCAGCATCCCTACCAGCCACTGATACTTCAGGCCCCATTGGATCTGAATGGATTGAATCATATGGCCCAAGGAGCAGAGCAGTGTACATAGCAGCCTAAACCTGTGGCAGAGCTTTCTCTTCTTCTGGGTCCCACTCAAAACTAGCAGTTTTTCAGGTCAGGCAAATGTACTGGAGTAACACACCCAAATGAGGAATATGTTGCCCCCCAAAGCCAAACAGGCCCACTAGGTATTGTGCCTCTTTCTTGGTTGTAGGAGAGCCAGACAGAACTTACTCTTTATCTTGGAAGGGATATCTTGTCATGCTCCACACCATAGGACCCCTAAAAATGATGTAGAAGTAAGTTTTAATCAGACTTACTTCCCACCCTCTGACATGCAAATGTCTTACCAAAGAGCCTGGAGTAGTTACTTCTTCTTACTCACTAGGTCTAATCAGCAATAATGCCATCAATACAGTGGGCCAGTATGATACCTTTTGGAAGGAAAAGGTGACTGAGATTCTTGCACACTGAATTATGACATAGAACTGGAGGGTTGATACGCCTCTGAGGGAGAACAGTGTGTGTATTGCTGGCCTTGCCAGTTGAGAGCAAACTGCTTCCAGTGGGCCTTACGGACAGGTATGGAGAAAAGGCATTTGCCACGTCAGTAGCTGCATACAAGGTACCAGGGGATGTGTTAATTTGCTCAGGCAATGCAACCCCATCTGCTATGGCAGCTGCAGTTGGAATCACCACCTGGTTAAGCATACAATAAAGTAATCCGCTGTCATTCTCCAAGATCCATCTGTCTTCTGCATGGGTCAGACTGAGTTGAATGAGGATGTGGTATGAATCACTACTGCATCCTTCAAGTCCTGGATGGTGGCACTGATCTCTGGGATCCCTCCAGGGATGTGGTATTAGTTTTGGTTTACTATTTTCCTGGGTAGAGACAGTACTAATGGCTTCCACTTGGCCTTTTCTACCATAGTAGCCCTCACTACACAAATAGGGAACCAATGTAAGGATTTTTGCAGCTGCTAAATATGTCTATTCCAATTATGCATTCTGCAACTGGAGAAATAACCACAGGGTGGATTCAGAGAGCCAGTGGACCTACTGTGAAATGAGCCTGAGCTAAAACTCCACCGATCATCTGACCTCCATAAGTGTCTACTCTGACTGGAGGGCAACAGTGATGTTTTGGGTCTTCTGGAATCAGAGTCAGTTCAGAGGCAGTGTCTGGTAGTCTCTGAAAAGTATGATTATTTCCTTTTCCCCAGTGTACAGTTACCTTGGTAAAAGGCCACAGGCCCCTCTCAGGAAGGCTGGGAGAAAGTTAACTGTATAAATTTTCATTAGTGTAGTCGAGTCCTTCCTCAGGAGGACCTGTCCTCTCATTCATTCATGTAAACTGGCTCAACTCTGGGAATTGATTAAGTGGCTGTGACTGTTTTTGTGATTTGTGTTAGACTTTTGTGCACTTGACTCAGGGGCTTTCTGCATATGTAGATAAAGAAAGAATTTCTATTTCATTTCTAGGAACATCATGAGTAACTAGCAAACACCATAGGTTTGCATGAGCCAGACTATTCTAATGGCTGCTTTGGCTCTACTGTTCATTACAGTAACCATGCCTACCTTGTCATTGGTGGCTGAGTGCTGCCACCTGGGCCCTGCCACCCTAAGATCCATATATTCCCACTGCATCTAGGTTTCCCAGTTGAATAGCTGTGGTTCCCACTCTAAGATCTGTCCTCCAGAGAAGGGCCATCATGGAACCCTTCAAAGTTGTTGGACTCCCCTCACAAATTTATTTCTCAAAATATTAGTGAAAGGTATGTCCTCTGGACCCTCCTAGTGTAGGTAAGTGGGCCCTAAATGACAAGATCACTCTAACATTTCAATCTCCCTAAGCTTCTGGGTCCTTTCCTCTACATTAAACCAAGGGAGGTTGGGCATTTCCAGTTGGCCTTCTTTTGGTCATGTTTCAGTTAAATAACCAACAAATTATTAGAGCCATTTCTAACTCCCTGAGCTACAACATTAAATGCAGGATCTTAGCTTAGTGAGCCCATATCAATAAATTCGGCCTGACCTAACTTTATGTCCCTTCACCATTATGTCCTACACCCTTAGAATCCATTCCCACACAAGTTCTCTGGATGTCTGCTT